TCCAGGTTCTGGAGTGTGAGGTTTCCATGGTCACTAGTCCTTTGGATCAAATGTGTCCATACTTCTTTGATTTTCTGGGATTTTTTTCCCCCTCCAGAAAAGAGAGTCCAATGGTTGCACTTTAAATGGCTACTTGCAACACTTTAAGACAAATCTTAGTCACTACTCACCAAATGTCAAGTCAATTGATCTTGTGGTTCCTCAAAATTATGATGCTCTGCTCCAACACCCAGTAACTCAATATCTCAAAGGGATGTTATCATTTTGTCCCCTGTACTATAGGAATGGGTTTTTTAATAGCATATATAAATATATGTTGTACATATATTTATTCTGAGGCTCCGTCTAACATACTTTGGACATGTTGTGAGGAGAAACTGGTCCTTAGAGAGGGACATCATGCTTGGGAGGGTGGAGGGACAGCGCAGAAGAGGAAGGCCCTCTATGAGGTGGATTGATTCAGTGACTGGGATAATTGGGATGGGAGTATCAGAGACAGTGCGATTGGCACAGGACAGAGCGGAGTTTAGGGGTGTTGTACATAGGGTCGCTATGAGTCACAAGCGACTCAACGGCACATAACAACAACAACAACAACATATAAATATATATACAGAACACTCCTCTGTCAAACGTACATATTATTATTGCTAGCTGCTGTAGAATAAGCTACAACTCTTAGTGACCCTGTGGACAACAGAGGGGAGCCTTATACTATTCGGTGCCATCCTTACAATCTCTGCTATGTTCAAACTCATTGTTGTAGCCAGTCAGTACATGTCATTGAGAGCCTTCCTCTTTTTCATTAACCACCTCTTTTTCTGAAAACAAAATAAAACAAAAAACCTATGTAAATTATGATTTTGAAAGTTGGACAATGACTAAGGATGATAGGAGGAGAATCAATGCTTTGGGCTGTGGTGGTAGAGAAGAGTACTGAATATCCATGGACTGCCAAAGGAACAAACAGATATGTCATGGAGAAAGTGCAGCCAGGTGCTCTTTCAAGGCAAAGACGGGGCTACTTCGTCTCAGGTATGCTGGGAAGGTTGTCAGGAGGGGCTAGTCCTTGGAAATGGATATCATGCTTGGAAAGGCACAGGATCAGCAAAAGAGAAGAATATCTTCATGTAGATAGATTGACACGGTGACTGTAACAATGGGCTCAAGTATATAAGAGATTATCAGGATGGAGCAGGATAGGGCAAGATATAGATCCAATGTTCATATGGTAGCTATGACTTGTAGTTGATTTGACAGCACCTAACAACAACAGTATATACACACACACACACAGACACGGAGGGGAGGGGGGGAGGA